CCATTTTTATATATTATATTATATTGCCGTTTGTTTTTTTCAATATTTTATTTTGTATTCCATGATAATATTATATATTGTACATGATATGTTATGTTAAAATTAATATGAATCATAATAATATTGATATTAATAGAAACATAAATATGAATAAAATAAGTATAGATATGCAGAATATATTGGTCGATCGCGTCGGGAACAACGTACCAAAACTCGAGTTTAAGCGCCTCGAGATGCGTTTTGTGTGAGAGGGTTGTCGATGGTGCTTCGAACACGTACAAAAACTCGAGTTTTAGCACGTCGACACGCGTTTCGTGTGAGAGGGTCCTCGATCGGGTTCCGAAAACGTACCAAAACTCGAGTTTTCGTACTCGAAGTCGAAGTTTATTTTCTTTTTGATCCTTTTTTATTTATTTTCTGATCCTGGGCTGCGTTAATTTTTTTTTTGATCCTTTTTTATTTTTTTTGATCCGGCAGCCCTCAATTCCGAGCTTAAGGGAGTTCAGAGCAGCATTTGAAGGGGGAGGTGCTCAAACTCACCTGTAGGGAACCAAACTCGGGCAGTTGGCTCAGTTTAGGACTCTGGCACCGAAAGTTGTTCTTTATTTGTTGGTGGGGTGCAGAACAAAACGGGAGGTGGCGTCGTGTTTTTGAACAGCACGTTCTTGAGGGGTGTGCACGAACCAGTGAGCATTTTGAAGTGGTAGGCGAGGTTACATGTTTTGGAAACTTCTTCGTGGGCCCCCTACCAGTCTAGCACGTATGTCTTCCAACAGTAATTATTGATAAACGGAGAATCACGGGTTTCATCACGACGTTTGAGCATTTCCCACATTCGGTGTTAGTGAGTTCTTTTTTTCCTAATCTACCCAATGATGCATGCGTCATTGTTTAAACATGCGCACACACGCAGACACACAAACACTTCGGCGAATTGGTCCGTGAAGCTGTCCTCAGCCAGATCCACCGCCTGCTGGTCAACCGCAAGGGTGAAACTGCTAGTGGTTATAGGAAATTTTCGCTGGTTAAAGTTTTTTCGAGATGTTTTGACGTCGTCTGCCGGCACGTCATACTATGGATTTTTCATAGAGGATTTTTGGCAGTGTCAGCCGACACAACTAAAGTGGCAGTGACAATGTGCCTGCCCGGTGTCGCTGCCTCATTGCCAATATGAGGTTGCTTGCTCGCTGTCAGCTTGCAATGCTGGCGCGTTGCCCGGGGGCGATCCCTGTGTGGCATTCGTCATAGTCTAACATTCTTCTTGGCGAGTTCAGGTTACTGGCGTGTTCTGTAACATGGCGATAGAGAGCGCCCGCGCCGACAAGGACCGCATCTGCTTGCATGAGGTAGGTGTTGTTGAAACTGTTGAGGTGGTCCACATACCAAGTATAGTAACTAGATGCTTTGGCTAGGCTGCGTTGATGTATATGGGACGGGTTAGGCCCCCCTCACGCAGCAATACTAGTTTACTCGGTTAATAGCAGCGCCACATCATAATCATGGCTGTAATGTTGTTTTTTCGTTCTAACTAGGTAGGTCTTGAGGAGACAATTGCTGTATGGGGGGCCCTTGCTAGTATATTGCAACATGCAGCACCATCGAGAGTGGTCATAGATCACATCAGCATGTTGCTTGAATGTACTGAATTCCTACATTTCGCCCAACAGGTTGCTGATAGGAGCTTCCGGTTCAAGTGTCGCCCTGCAATTCCCTGCACACAAGGACATGGCCACGATGCGTCAGATGCAGAAGCATGAGGCCTTAGAATCCAGAGCAGTAGTGGGTTCCGCGAAGCAAGTGTTGAGAAATCTTTTCCATTCGAACGATGCATGGTTTTCTACATTTTTCGGTTTGCAAGTTCGTGCTGACAAGCCCACAGAACAATTGTTTAGGGTTTAGGGTTTAGGGTTTTTTTACGTTGATCATGAACTCCGACAGGCACAAGTGGATGCCTTGCGCGGAGTCTTTGAAGAGATCAATCCAGATGCTTGGCTTTGA